AAGAATCTGAATTTGAATTAACTCAAGATGAACTGGAGCATATAGCACGTGTTTCATGCATGGCTGAAGAAGCATTTGGCAAACTTCAAGCACTGCAAAATCCTCAAACAAAATTGCCCACTGATAAGGATTTGGTTGAAGATGAAGGTCGGATAATCTCGGATTACGAGGAATACAACGTGAAGGAAGCAGAAGAATTTTCAGAACAAAGTCAATCGAAAACAAGTTCTGCAACGTCAGGTCCAGACTCTCCACAAGAATCAGTGGATATGAAGATGTATTCGATTCTGCCGTCTGGTGATATTGTTCAAAGTTTACATCCGGAAATTGAAATGGAATATACTGCACTGCAACAATTCCATTCCACCCATAGTAATAATTTTATGAACAATCTAAGGATATCTGCTGAAAAAACTACAGTAAAATCACTTGAAGCGCAAGGGAGTTTAAGAAATGTTGAAAATAGATATGCAAAGCTTGCACATCAGGAAACTGTTAGATCGCATATTATTGCAAGTCGCAGTGAGGACTTTGAGCATTCAGACAGAACAGGAAAAAATTTGGATTTATCTACCTCTGAACCTGATGCGACCATTTTGACCACAACTGGAGTTGCAAGAAGTGCCATATTAATTGATGAATCTATAACAAATGGTCAGTCGGCATTATTAGGAGATTTAATTGAAAAATCATTCATTCATTTTGATATTCCACAAGTTGCGCGAGTTGCTTCCATGGCAAATATGGATTATTTGAATGAAAAACAGCATCAAGAAAACAGAACTCTTCTTATTAACAATGAGCAAATCAAAGTGGATGGTGATATTCGGAAGCCTGGGATTGAATTAACTATAGAAGATTTGGAGAATTCCTCAAAAATTGTTCCATCAGTCGAATCCCTGAGCCATTCGCAAAAAGAATTCGCATTTGAAGAACTGTGGGAACGACAGACGGAACAAGGAGAACAGCATCAAGAACAATCGACTATTGGTAAATCCGTGACTGAATCATTAAAAAACGACTCCCGTATTGGAGTTCACAGAAACGGTCAGTTGTTCGAAAATGATACCAGTCACTTTTTGAAGAAAACAAGTTCTAAATACAAAGAAATAGTTGTAGGTGAAAGAAACACCATGCTTATCAAAGATAAATCATATCCACGAATTCAACCTAACGGAAAAGTTGAATTTAGTTTAGAGCATTCGAACCACTATCTCATTGATAGATTCAACGTTACTTCAACAGTAACTTATACAGATCGACTTTATAAAAAAATGACACGTAATCTTCGATTTTCGGAAAAGATGCCACACTATGGAAGAGCTAATTTCTGGAAAACGTTTAATAACCAGAAAGAATATTCCCCGGAAAAACATATTGAAGGTATGAAGCCAACATTTACTCGCGCTTCTAGTGTTTTTGTAGTTTACACTGATCAAAATTTGCTTGCTTCACAATCTGGAATACCAGGAAAAATAGGAAAGAACGATAGCACTGAAAAAACACTAAGTGATCAAAGTAATACAGAATCGATTGCAACAAGCAAGGTTGAAAACTCAAGAGATATCGAAATTTGCTCTATAAAACAAAAATATTTAACTTCTGACACGAATGCAGTTGTGCCTGTTTTAGAAGATAGATGGGAAAGATCTGAGGAGAGTGGATCTCTGTTGTCACATTCCATGTTTACAAAAACGGAGAGTGGCGAAGGTAAGGAATCGTTAAAACGTTCTTTAACGTCGCTATTGAAAAATGAGAAACCTCGAGGGACTCACCAAACGAATGTCTTTGAACGCTGTGAGCGAGAAAGCATTGCTGGTGATGGATCCATGCTGCATCATGCAGACTGCTTGATGCGCCTCAATTTTTTCGCAGAACGGATAACAGAACAAGTCGCCGAACTTGCTGCTATGGAGTTAGGAAATCGCTTCAGAGCTGAGCTTAATCCAAGAGCTAGGTACTTCTTACAAATGCGCGCTAATATCGAAACCCAAGCGGAGTCAGCACCTATTACTCCTTCCGAAAGTGATGAAGAAATTGAGGGAAAGATCACATTGAGGTTAGGAATTATTTTGAAAAGATTTATGTTTATTGATTTCCGGAAATTATGAGAAATGTAATAAGCCCCAGATTGTTTCTAATATTCAAATTATATTTATCAAGTTTGGACTTATAATTCATCAGATTCACTTCTATTACTTTCTCATGCCAAATTTTTTTACTCACATTAAATTTTTGGCAAAGTTTCTTTCTAGTTTTAATTTTTGTTAAAAAAAATCATATAATTATTTATTTCAGCTCAACAGAAAAAAGAGAACAGCAATCAGTAACAGTGTCAGAAACCGGATCTTCTCCTCGAAGTTCGTCTTGGTTTTTTTTATTTGGAAGTGGTACGGCTAATGGAGAAGATAGGCCACGTTCTCCAATATCATTTCTCTGGCGAACAAGTCATCGGCAAAGCGACGCATCGAGTCGAAGAAGTTCTCCTGATGGAAGAAACGAATTTATGGATTTGCTTCGAAGAACATCTGGAGCTTCAAGCAATGGTTCCGATATGAGTACAAAATTACCTGATAGCGCATTAGCTGGTCTTTCAAGTGAGGAGCGTGAGCATATTGAAAAAGTTAGTTTTATCAGTATGCAATAATATTGTTAGAAATAATATTCCACGAAAATAATAGATGGGTCTTAATTAATAATATCGTCAAAGAATTTCAAACTCCATTACTTTGTTATCCTTCATTCTAATTAATTGAAAGATATTTATAATACTTTTAATTAACAGAGAATGTACACACAAAGCTGCTTCTGAAAGAAGCTGGCAGTACAAACCTTAATGTTCTCTATTTAATTTGCCTGCTAGTTAGATTGGATATACTTATTCTGCTGGCATATTAATAACAAATAGAGAATTGAAGTAACTTTTTGCATATGTTATTTAAATTTGAATTGCAGGTACTGAGTGCAGCGAATCGACGGTCTCGAAGTAGCCAGTCAACACCAACGGCTTCTAGAAGGTCTGTCTTTTATAGTTTTACGTTAGAAAAGCAGAAAATTTTGTGTTGTTATTTCCTTTAAATTACCAAGGATGCATATCAGATTGTTTGATTCATAAAATAAGAACTCAATATTGTTTGGCAAATAAAATATTTAATTTTTTCATTTTCGCATGATATATCAAATTTTCAGACAATCTATTTACAAGCTTCCGGACATGAATGATTTCGAATTATGTGAACGAGTACACATCGAAGGTGTTATTGAAAAAGCCGAAAAAGGAGCATTCCCATTTGTCATCAAAGTTACAAATGCGGATACTGTCAGAGAAGATTCAATGAATGCTGATGATGAAGAGAAATTCGACAACATTGTTAATCAAACAGCAAATAACACAAATGAACCTGAAGAGTCAGTATATGACAAATCAAAGGTTTTGCTAGACAAACCAACAAGAAGCACTTCTTTATCTGAAAGAGTGGATAAACAGCAAAATGAGGAAATTGAGGTAGCACCGGAAACTAGTATAATGAAAGTTGAACTGGAATCAAGTTTGGATGCAAAAGCCGATCTCGAGAAGAGCAGGGGAAGTGAAGAAATTAGCTGTGAAATTTCAGATGCAGAGATGGAGCATATTCGAAAAGTCGCAGAAGCAGCTATGATGATGGAAGCTGATAATCAGTGGATAAGTTGGTCAAACAGTTGTAAAGAAATTGTCAAAAATTCACAGAATATGACAGCTGCCAATTCATTAACAGAATCGAAGAGAGCAGAGGAATTAAGTACTTCAGAAAGTCCCAACATAGATATTCCAACCACAGTTTTTTCCGATGAAATGATGGAACCGGAAAAGATATTAACAAGAGAAATGGTTTGTGAAATACACAAACAGAAAGTGGAAGATTTGAAAACAAATGAAGCTAACAGCATGGGCGATAATTCTCCTCAAACAGCACCAAGTTTGAAATCATTTGTAATAAAAACGAATCCTTTTGAGAGAGACTTGAGCAAAGCAAAGTCTGTCACCATAAGTGCGGAAGAAATGAAAATCTTTCAAAATTACGAAGAACAAGAGAAGAAATTAACTGAGGAGGTAACAATGCATATCGAGGGGCTTGAAAGACAAATAACAGAGCCGGAAGAATTCGAGAATTCTATTTCGAGAGAAGTAATGGAAACTAAGATTCTGAACCTGACTGATGAAGACTTGGCACAAATCGAGTTGGTTGATGAACGGGCAAAACAATTGGGGAAATCAAACGAATTCAATGTTTTTACACCTGAAGAAACAGTGAAATACAAATACCAGAAAGTACAAGATATTTGTGTGATCGATGAAAAAGAATTAGGACAAACAAGAGTTGCTGGAAGACGGATAAAAGAATTGCAAACTGTTGACGGATCATTTCCATGTGGATTCAAACAGGAGTTGTTGCAAACAAATGCTTGGGAGGGACAAATGAAAGAGTTGAGAGTAGAGGAAAGAGTAGTTGTTGAGAATCTAAAAGAAAACAAAGAAATTAGCCTTTCCGAGAATACTTTGATAAGTACTGTTGAAGAAAATGCAAAACATTTAGAAGAAAATAATTTCATTGAGAAAAAAGAAACGATGACAATAGAAGATCATAACAAAATAAATGATACTACGGCGGAATTGATGCAAATGCGAGCCGTAAAACAACGAGCAAAACAGATGGAGGAATTTTTCATTCTTGAAGGATATGCAGCAAAAGTATTTGAAGAGAAGAAAAGAAAGGATTCAAACTTGGTGACGAATAGGCTGGCTGCTGAAGAAAAGTCTCAAAATCATTTAACTGAGGCTGAATTGGAACATATCAAAGAAGTGGAGAGAAATGCTATTTGGCAGCTTGAAATGCCGCTTCTGGACACGACCGCTAAAGTAAATCAAGTGAAACTACAGCAAAAAAATGTAGCACTGAGTGAAGTTGCTTTCAATAAATTTGTTAGCATTTTGAATCCATTCAAGAATAGTGTGATTACGACGTTGTCCTTTAAAAGTAACTTCGATGAGGCAAAACTTTCCCAAAACATTGCATCTTCAGGAGATGTATCAAAAACAAACAAGCAAATCGTAGAAGAATCAATGGAGTCATATCTTGAAAATCAAAATTTCAAAACGGATATACCAACAATAAAGGAAGCTGATTATACTTACAATGATATTGAAGTTTTGGAAACAATGAAAGATTTATCTTCCCCGCAAACAACTAATGAATATCCTGAAAATCAAGATTTAGAGCATATGTCCTCAAGTGAATCATCTGATTTTGGTCCGGGAACATCAGATGAAGATGAAGAAATAGATCAGAACAGTATGAAGTCGTTCAACCTGTTTTCCGGAACAATCTCTTCAGTTCCAGAATTTGAAGACGATGGTATTTCAAAAGTGGAGAAGCCTTCAGCAAAGTATGGTACCGTCAAGAATAAGGATTTGTCAATAAATGTTAATTCAAGCCCTATTCATAAGGAACTTTTGCCAAACAGTGGAGCAGTATACAGTTATGGAATATCGCAAAGCGAACAGATTTTAGGCATAACCTCTTCTCCGTCAACACAAGTTTCTGTACGGTTGAGCACAAAAAGTAGTGCTACCGATCAACAAACCGTTGATAGATTTGCTGGGCTAACACAGGAAGAAATTGAACATATTAAAATGGTTGATCTTCATTTCGAACTTGAGAATGCAAAAGATATATCAAAAATCTCTACACATAATGTCAAGAATTCAGAAGTTGAATCTGTAAGCGAAACGATTCTGGATACTGAAGAATATGAACCACAAGAAAGAGAGTCAGCAGTTGATGTAAGAGGATCAGAAGCCTTATATTTCATTAACGTTGATGATAAAGTAAGATCTGATAGTTATAAAGGCATCGAATCCATGGAAAGTGAAAAGGACATAATATACGACAGAAGTCAAATATCGCTGAAGAGATTTACTGTAAATGATAAATTGTTGGAGTATTCGGCTGAAAGGGATTTGACAGTTGGTCAAAGAAACAAGTCATGGCAAAGTGCAAATGCGGAACAGGATAATAAAATGAAATCATTAGAGGAACTTGGCCGCGAAACAAACATCGGGAAATGGTATGAAGAACGTTTAAGTTCGCTGAGAAATTCATTATGTATTGAAGAAACTCCTGAAACTCCAGGTTTTGATTTGAAATTATATAATTTGACAATAATCATTACGAAAGAGACACTCTTATGGTTCAATGAAATTTATTCAATAAAATAAGATCCACAATTTTACATTTATAGGCTGAGTTATTGAGATAATCAAAAAATTGATATTTTGTTCGGTCACCCGCTGTGTTTAATAGATAGGCCGATTGTGTAGTTGGAATTTGCGGTGTAAAAGAATTTCATACTTTTTTGATCTGACTTTAACTAGATCATTTGAATATATTTAAAAGATGATCAAAATAAACGTTAAGCAAAATAATCTTTAGCATAATTTTTGCGGATCACTTCTAATGCAATGATTAATATTAAAAATCGGTATTCAAAGCAGTTTTATTTCATATTTTTATTCCCTTACAGATTCTTCCATTACTAATTTTTAATATATTTCACACTATTGTTTTCTAATGTGAGTGAACGAACGTTGAATGATTGTCATATTATGTTTATTTTAAATTAGGAATCCCTAAAGAACTTTTAAAATCTGAAATTTTTCAAAGTCGAAAGAAACTTTTTCAGTATAAAACCATCAATTCTGGATAAATTTAACAGCAAAAGGACAGAAGCAGTATTTCAATATGTGAGATGATGGGAGACATTAACATTAAAACAAGATGAGAAAAATACTTTGCAGAAAAGAGTACACTTATAAATTAAGTCACGAATACTTATTTCATCAGTAAATTTCTGATTCCAATACAAAACAAACATTCAATGACCAACATAATGAATTTATGCCTTAATCATAGTATATTCATTTTTAATTTTAATTTTTATGATCAATTTTAAATGAAACCAAGAATTCCTTGCATTATTAGGGAACAAAAGTCAAATACATGCTATTTATTAAATTTTTTGATATCATAATAATCCACTCGATAGGTTTGAAAATATTTACCCCTAGAAATGGAAAAAGAAAATGCATCAGGAAAATCATCACATTTACTGCTATTTTTATCATCACCATCATTTTCATCACCACTTATGACAGCATCAACCGCACACACGAATTTCGAAGAGGAATCGATCGAATCTTCAAAAGCCTTTAATACAAGCAACGCAGGCATTGCGCATTTGCCTATCGATCAAGCAGCACCAGTAGTGCAAGCCTCAGAAACATTAGCATTGGATGTACATTCTGGAGAGAGCACGTCGCAGCTCTATGCATCATACTTTGCTGCTTCAACAACATTACAACAAGCGCAACAACAACAACAGCAGCAGCAGCAACAACAACAACAACAACAACAACAACAACAACAACAGCAACAACAACAACAGCAACAATATTTACCAAGTATGGATGTCTTTGCTTGGTAATAAAATGGGCAGGATAAATTTTGCCCCTAATTTAGTGAAGTCGTATGAACTCATTATCGATTAATTTGAAAATCTTAAAAAGCCTTTTTTGTGAAAGGAACATTTTGCGGAAACAATAAGAACAATAAGAATAGACACTGTCTACTTTTAAAGTCATTTTAGCATCATTTGAAGTTTGAACTTTTAAATTTATAGGCAAAGAAAAAGAAAAGCAGTGGTGTACGGAAAGTGAACCACGTGTTGTTACAAAAAGTATGTTTGGTTCATTGTCTCGTTTGGCTGGTGATGCATTTAAGGGTGCGAAGCAAGCTACTGAGCAATTTGCGCAAGTTGCGCAGCATGCTGCTTCCACTTCCGACTTGGCAACGATCACCAAGGTTGGCAGGCATTTTTATGTGTTTTTGGTAACGTAGTAAGCTGAAGATGTAAAGAATTTTGCAGTAATTGATTTAAAATTGTTTTTTTTTCAGGTAATGTATAATATTCTCAGCTTTAATGAAAAAAACTGATTTTAGTCTCATTGTTTTCATTAAGACGACTAAATGGGTTTTTTTAGATTTAAATTTAAATTTGTTTCTTTTTCATATTCGTGCGTTATGTCTTTGATTTTTTCTTAAAATGAAATTAGAACTTGAATATTAATCAAGATGAACATTAGCTAAAAAAGATTAACTCTTCAAAATTTACAAAGTTTCACACTTGGATTTTCTGGAATTGCTGTTTGCAGATTGTCATTGATATATGACTAATTTATGCACTTTGTTGTTTGCAGATTGGCATTGATGTATGATTAATTTATGCTACTTAATTTATAGCCAAAATCTTCGCAAAAGGTATTATCATTGTATCCGATATCTTCGAGTTCATCTCTTCCTGAAAATGATTTATTGCCTGGTTTGAGCGATTTGTCAGAGGAAGAACGTCAAAAAATCATGGCGGTAATGGCAAGCGCTGAATTAGATATGGCATCAACTAGTGTGTCTGGATCATCAGCTCCAGTCAAAATATCTGTTTCGCATACATTGGATTCATTTTTCAAGAATGAGGATCGAAGGTTTTTGAAATTTCTTTTACCCTGATAATTAACTCCTCATGCTTTCATTTCCAATTTTGGTCGAAAACCTTGTGGTCTATGCATATTGATTTTTTTTCAGTATAAATCGTGTCAATTTCTTCATTGAGTTAATGGCATTGCTGCAGTTTAGTATTTGCAGAGGTCCCATAAGTAGTTTGCCGGAACAATCGAAAGTGGATTCCGTCTCAATCAATGAAGCAGAGTCGAAGTCATCTGTTTCGATGCCGCTTTTCTCTGTTTCCTCAAACATTGTGAGTGAAGTGGACTTGTCATGTTTGTCGCCAGCTGAACGAAATCAAATTATCAGCGTGATAAAAGCTGCCGAATCCGAGGAATCAAATATTATTCCACCTGTGTCATCATTGCTTCCAGTGTCGACAACGTCACTTTCAATTACGCCAGTTAATGGTTTGTTTATTTAGTAAAAAATTCTGACATAAACTATTTCAATTTCTCCTCGCGCTAAGTATAGAAAAAAAATTCCAGATAATCAGTTAAATAATGATTAGTGATGATTTCATCTAATGCATTTCTAATGAATTGGATTATTCATCTGAACATTTTTATAAATGAGTTTCTGATAATTTAGCGGGACTTTCACAAGCTGGAAGGGAAGATGAGCATTTCGAAGCTACTCATGCGATTTCATCTCAACCTGTTTTGCAAAATGGTAATGTCTTTTCTTGAATTATTAGAGTAAAAATTTATGCTTAAGAACTATTCAGTTCAAGTATAGGAATAATGCGTGAATAAATCAGCAGTTATAATAAAGCATAAGTAATCGTTTTGCATCTGATGCTTAAATGAAAACCATTTATTTCAGGAACATTAGATCACACTAAAAGTAATGAATGGCGTCAGGATAAAAGTTTTGAAAATACTGATGAGCAGGATATGGAGAATTATAAAATCTTTATGGAATCATCTGCTACATCTTCCATCAGTGTGACACTACCGCAAATTGATAGTGATTACCCAATAACTGAGGACAGTAGCTGTGATCTCGGTTCCACACATCCAAGCCTTGTATCGAGTATTGTCACTGGAACTGATATCCAGGAAACAGATATTCCATCAGCACCTGGAAGTAGTGATTATGGTAGCGCCGATTTTGATTATACTTATGGAGATGATAGGAGGTTTATATTTGATGGCGTCAGCCAGCTGGAAGATTCTTCGAAAGAAAATCAAGATATGGACAGTGGTATTGGAGCTATCGATTGGTCGGATCAGGTGGAAAATTTACTTCACTTTCATATTATTATCATTGAATCAATTCATCCTTTTATTTTCAAATTGGCTGTTGATTTAGTGCAAAAAAATCGTTAGCAATACTTTTGCCAAATTATATTAATTTGATATAACGCTTCATTGATTGTAGCATTAAATGTCTTTAGTTTCGCGAACAATTTTTTGATTTTAAATAAAAATTGAAAAGAAAGAGTTAAATGACGAAGTATAATAATTTTAAGGGGCATTATGAATGGACTGAACAGAAGCCCCGAATGTGGACAACAGTTTTCACCGAGGACGAAGAAAAAAATGATACAGACATGAAAAAATGTGAAAATAGAGCAGAAAATTATATACGAGAAGCCGATTCACATCAAGAAAAACAAACCAATGGTCATTCTTTACTTCTATTGGTGATCAGCTAATTTGTGGGTAGGAAGGAAAGCTTTTTAGTGTCTTTTGAGCTTTTTAAAACAGATTGATTTTTACAATTTAATGATTAGGGATTGTGAAATTACAACAAATTACATTTTTCAGCTTCTGAGGACATTATTAAGGAATCAGATGATACTACTGAAGAAAATGTATATAAATTAAATACGACTCAAGATAGTGATGAACGATTTTTCATCAGTACTGTAAGTCTTCTTCACTCAATTTGTGTATTAATTTTTTCGAACATGATGTTGTACATATTAAAATAACATTGAAGCGATTAAAATTTTGATTTCAACTATTAAGGATGATTAGATCATCATTAATGATGGTGCTTCGGATACAAAAATTTTTACAAAACGATATGAAAATTGTAGGACAATCTTTCGGAAAAGGCTTTAGAATCGCAGACCTGCACTGCTGAACATGAAATACTGAAAACTGCACACATTATGCGGTTTGTTATTTCTGTCAGGTTTTTGTTTAATAAATACTTCAAATAATTCATTTTATCATTTTACCTTTGTCAGTATTATTATTATTTACCATGCTGTAGGATTCCACCAGCAATAACGGTAACTGATCATGATGACGGGATCCGATTAGCAGCTGATGACGATTCCGATGCTGAGACAAGTCCTTCTTCTGATGAAGATGACTATCCCGATCAGGTTCATTAATTTTGGACTTAATTTTATTAGTTTTGGATTTAAACTTGCAGACTACAATTACATCATTTTCTTCGAATCATAATTTTAGATAATCGAAGTACCCTCTGCACCACCAATATCGTATGACGAAGTGGAGAAAGAGCAAGAGCAGCAAGAGGCATTCGGGAAAGCTGTCCTGCAGCAAATACAGGTTGCAAAATTCTCTTAAAAACTGAAATATTTATAATATTGCTAAGTTCGAGACCTTTTTAATTTAATTAATCAAATTAAGTCCCGATAATGAGTATTAAATTACTGTCAGGCTTTTGGAGAAGCAGCAAATGATGAATTCGACGTTCAGTGGGTTCATGATAATTTAATTAGAAATGAAGCGATAAGCAATGTCTTTGCACAGGACGAAAGTACAACACCAGCGGTAAAATTTCATCTAATGTGAACTTTGTCTTCCAAATGTTCACCGTTTTGATTTGATGAGCACGATACTGTAGTGAATTGATATCAGGTGGCTTACGATGGGATCCTGTTATCAGTCGAAACCGAACAAAATGACAAAACAGCGAGTTTGAGTAAAGTTACCTCCGAGAGGAAAAACCCATTCCTGGATGTCGATGATAATGACAGTCTACTAAAAGTCGTGGAAGAGGATGTAAGCAAACAAATTTTATGTTCATATATGCTTGTAGTTCTTCAAATTATGCTTTCAAAAGTGATTTCTATTGCTTTGACGAGTTATTATTGAAGAAATTGTATTTGTGTGATATTGACAACGTTTGTTTGTGACAAAAACTGATTACAGCCATTGCAACCTGATGATGTTGATTACACAGCTGCAGCTAACTATTACAATAGCCAGTCATTCTTAACTCATAGGCCTGGTTCGGTTTACACAATTCCGGAGGATAAAGAACAAGACGACGGACAAGTCAGTACCGATTCGAAGTTCTACGGTAAGCTGTTTCGTGAAATTCTGTAAGGCTAAATCAGCAAGCAAGAGTTTTTCGATATTCATTATATAAAAGTGAGAATTCGACTCGCCTTGTTGACTTATCAGTGAGGAATATTTCTTCTGCAACATCATAAATATTTTAATTAAATTAAAAGAACTAACTGGTGAAATTTAGCAAAGGAAGTGATTCGCAGAATACGCGCAGAACCGGTAATTCTAAAAACAACTTCTAAATCCACTGCGCTTAGTGAAGTAGCAACTGCATTAAATATAGCTTCAACTTTGAATCCTGCTCAAAAATGTTAGCCTTTCATCATCACTCGTTTGAAAAATTTCAGATAGTTTTAAACCTCATTCTCTTTGTTTTCTTTTATTATTCTGGTAAATCAAAGTTTATGTGTTGAAAAATTTACGAAAACTTCAAAATTAAATAATTCTAGGCCGAGATGTAACGACAACTGTCTATAGTAGTGACTACTATAGTCAGTTACAAAAGCGCCAGACTGAAGTTGCAAAACAAGCGTTGCTTCACAGTGCAGAAACAAATGCAGTAACTCCTGCAGTTGAAGCGAATGTGGATAGTTTTGAAGCTTCAAGACAACTGGAACATATCACCGTATCCTCATCGACTGCACAGGAAGTCAATCAGTTTTACAACTGTTACAATAAAAAAACTTAGGAGTGTGCATATTACTGAGTTTTCTGAAGATACAAAATGTTAGATTTATTTGCGGATCACGTAGCATTCCAAAAAATCACGGAAGCGAATATCTATTGTTGGCTTTTCATTGTTTCTTGTAAATGAATGAGATTAATGAATTGATTGGAGTTCGGTTATGGAGGAAATTTTGGTAAAAATTAGATTATAAATTTAGTACTCATAGAAAGCAGAGAACTTCTTAGTGTTCTCTAATTGAATTTTGCTAGTGATTTGAAGTGAACATTATTTTTTTTACACTCAGGTAGACTTTATATAATAGAATGTTAAATAATCTACTGAAAGGAGTATTGAAACGAAGAAAATTTTTACCATAATCTAAAGCTGTTGTTTTCAAATTTGTTAATCAGTCCAGTTATGTCCAGTGATCAGTATACAAAATTCATAATGCTTTATTTATGCAGGAGCCTTCTTCCTGTTTGCCCTCCGATGGTATTTCATTATGTAGCAGTGCTGTGGTCTTCAATCTCTCTTCACATCGTACTACATCTGCCGGTTTCGATGGCATCCAAAATGGGAAAATCGATGAAATGGAAACATTCACAAATTTACCCACCAACAGTATGCTATTTTATGTAGCTGTTTTTCTTATTCATTGCCAGATGTGCAGTTTTATTGTTTCCATGGGACATGCTGCATTGAATTTATCAATCAATTCTTCTCTTAAAAAAGTGGATTAAAATTGAATCAAAACATTCCTACAATGACTATTTTTAAATATAATTCATTCTTTTATTTTGAACTCGGATTACATGAAATTTTAGTATTTTCTGTTTGCTTATGATTTTTAATGCATCATGCTAGTGTAATCATTTTTCAGAAAATGATTCTGGAACTGAGGTATTAAAAATGAATTCAGAAATAACTCAACATTCAAAAAGCGAAGCATCATCAAACACGACTTGTAGTACCTCAAGTTTTCATCAGATACTAGGACAACCATTCAACTCATCTTCCAACGCAAAATCGCTATCAGAGACGCTGGGAAGTGGACTAGATTCGAATGTTGGAACTATGTTATCTAGATTTGATGCTGATCCGACAGCCTCAAGGTTATTAACATCAAATTTGTGTATTTAAAATCAATGATTTACTGAAGCTTTTTGTATGAGCATTTGGTGTTGATGCTTTGTAACACTGTCTCTTATAAAAAATAAAATTCAAGAATATTTTCCCTCGATTCGAATTACCTGGTGGTTTAGATATTAGTTCAGTTTTCTTATTACGACAAATAAGAAATTACGGATTTTTTTAGACTAAAACGATCACCAGCCATGATGCTGATGGGTGGCCAACAACACAACGTTCCTAGCACATCGACAACTTCCGAAATGTTGTCCAGTGCCTACATGCCAACGTTGTTCTCACAGACCATTCCAAAAGAGGTTATTTAATTTTTCTTTTCAGTTATCTTAAATTTTCAGAAAATTATTTCTTACTATTGTCAATTCATTTTTATCAAGTATTGCTGTGTTAATTTTACTTCTAATTTGAATATCTTTAACTTAATGCAAACTTTCCCCATTAAAAAAAATATGAAATTACTTTGAAGTACTTCAAAATAATCGGCTTAGCACAATTTACCATTTTTATTTTTAATTTGAACTAATTAAAAAAAACATTTACAATGCTTACAATCTCAATTATTTTGAAATCAAACTGCAAAATTTATTGTTGTCAATGTTACTATTTTAACGTCAAAAGATCATCGCAACCTTGCTAGAAAAAAGTCTCAAATATTAAAAAGATAGTAGTAGTGGCAGTGTATTAAGGTTGAAAAGAAAGCCGCATTATATTAAATCGTCGTTGTCTAACTATAAAAAGTCTAAAATATTCAAGAAAGACTGTTTGTGAAATTAAATTCTGGCACCAACTAACTTTTAACATAAATAGTTTCTTCCAAAAAGAATGAGAAGGTAATACGGTGTAGCTGAAAAAGAAAGAGCATACTTATTTAAGAATATTTTTGTTGATGTATTTATTTGATTTTTTTCAATTTGTTTCTGAGAACAATTGCTCTCAGGAGATTCTGGCAAATTGTGTCTTTTATTGAGTTTTCAAATTATTTTCAAATAAGAAAAATTTTTCGTTCTACATCAACGAATATCATGTTTCTGAAGGAACACGGTGCAATATTCTCTTGTAAATGTTTCCATTTAGAAATGAGAATGAGAAATAATGAAAGATCAATTGTATTTACAACAATTATTTCATTCATCAATTTACAATGATACATCAGGAAAATGAGAAGATAAAGTTTCAACTATTAGTCGTTGATAATAATATCAGTTAGCATTAGTAGTAATATTTGTTAGTCAAAGAAAGTATTTGTCGCGAATTTCGATTCGCGAAACTTCAACCATACAAACAAATAATCAAATAAATTTCTTATTGTAAACAAATGTTCCTAATATCATGACTCATTTAATTAATTCTGCATTCCTTCAAATTATTTTTCATGACATTCTTGTGTTATCTAAATCCACATCTTCGTATTCACACATTTTGGTACGGTATTGCCTTTGTTAGCAACTGCTCAAAATAGCTATCTTAATTCCCATCTTTGTTCATACACGTATCTTTATCCATATACTAATCTTCCATTGTCACAATGCTTATGCAATTGGATCTTAGCTATT